GAGTGAAGGAGCAAGAAAAACAAAAAACAAAAAATGAAGGAAGGAAAGAAGCAGAGAAGAGAAGGACCATAACAGAAAAGTCATGAAAAGAATAAAAATAAAAATTGGGCTCTCCATTCTCAGGGCTCCTTATTCTTGTAGAACCCATGTGTAGAAGGACAGAATAGGGAGGCGGAGTTTCTGTATACCCTTCTTCTTTTCATGGGTTGTACGAGATTACGACACTTGGACGAGATTTTNCTGACTACCGTGGAGAAAGCGCAAATCGTATGCCCCGCTTACAGCTGCGACGTCTGTCAAGTATCGCGGGCTGACCCGCCGCATGCGACGGCTGCGGCGTGACCTAGTTTCGACGGACACGCGCAACGAAGCGCACCCCAAAGTGGCCTACAATTATGAGGAACGCTCCACAGTGCAATCCTATCCACAAACTTTTGACCGAACCAGCTCTCGTCGACACACATATAAAGAGAAACCAGCATTTTTTATTTTTTAGAAAGGTACTCTAACGACCATCTTCGTAACAATTTCGGGAGCAATTCGAGCTCTGGTGTACACAAGAAAAACACCATAAGCAATTGTTTACATGCCATTTTTCGATTTTTGGTGGATATTCAGGTGACATGGTAGGACAACAACTGAGAGTGACAAACCTTAAATGGTCCCATTATCGATGGCGTCATAGTGATATTCGGTGTAGCGGAATTCATGGGAAGATTCGTCGACTTTGGGTTAACAGTCATAGTCTGAAATCTCTGAAGGATGAGAAAGTCGGTAGTAAAAATGAACTCGGTCACGTTGCCAAAGGAGCTAATTGCTTATCTATTGTTTACAGAGGCGGAACGTCATTAGCAAGAGGTAAATAACATGGAAGAGCCTCCTGTACGGATTATATTGGCTAGTTCATCCTACCAGAATCCTTCAACCTTTGTTTACAACCGAACCTCAAATTCTCAGGAAAATATAAACTCTATTAAATGAAGCAGAAGCAGAGGTGGTGCAATACCAAGTGACGCACTATGAAACAAATGTTAAGGAGAACGGATCCCAAATTGGTACCCAACGACATCCTCCCCACGGGATCGGTTGACTGGCGCGTGCATCTTGCTCCTATCGCGTCTTCAGCCAGGCACTGTCTGTATACTGTAGTAAGCATGTCAAATTAAATAATGGGTTTCCAAAATTATGGAAATTCAATACCCCTGATGCAAGGAACATTGCCTCTGCTGCTACCTACCGGGGAAAGTACATGCTACTTTGGGTAGCAGATCACCAGAAATCGTGATTGTTGAGCCTGATTCACTTATGACAAAGGGACAAAGAGAAAAATAAGGTCATTCCAATGTGAACTGGGTAATATCCCAAAATAAAACTGGTTGGGTAAGTCGTTAACGCCAATTTTGATATACGTTTGGCTCCCCAATTAACAAGGACACCTATAAAAAGTGTTTTATGCGCGGGTTGCGAGTGATACGGGTATTATGCGAAACAAAAATATCAAAAAATAGGGCATGTTCGAGTCATCTATAAAGAGTCTTCGAAAAACCAATAAAAATTGATGCAAAATAGCCTCTGGAAAGAATTGCTTCTTCACATACTCTTCTGCACCAAATCGCGATCGCCAAGCAGTCACGTACACCATGGGAGTGAAGGAGCAAGAAAAACAAAAAACAAAAAATGAAAAAAAGGAAAGAAGAAGAGAAGAGAAGGACCATAACAGAAAAGCAACGAAAAAAAGTAAAAATTAAGCTTCTCATTCTCGGGGCTTCCTATCTCGTAGAACCCATGTGTAGAAGGACAGAATAGGGAGGCGGAATTACTGTATACCTTCTTCTCTTCATGGGTTGTACGAGTTTACGACACTTGGACGAGATTTTAGTTGAACCCTGACAAATAGCTGAATGTCTTTGCAGCAAAAGTGACCCATTCATTAAGTACTGTGGAAAGCACCTGTCGAGTGCTCTACAATTGTCCTGCTTTCTTAAGAGATATTGTTAAAGGACAGTACTCACTGGTGAGCGCATGGCATATCAGAAGATCTTATGATTTCGCAGACGGTAAATCAGATCGAGATTCATCTTCGATCGCTTTGTTTCAGGCTGTGAAGCGTTGGATCCAGGTAAGCACAGGACCGCTTGAAGGGGATTTCAAAGCCGAATATTTGACACAGGTTTCAATAGATTTCAACAACGGAGTGGCCGGTTTTGATCTTGTAAAGAAGTACGCGTTGAATATGGGTGGACAGTTTGGTGGATTACCCAGTCATGTCATGAAGAGGATATGTATACGCGTGAGTAAAGACATTACATGAAACCCTATGGAAGCTTCTAGGAATATCTTTAGAATACTAAACTAGCACGAAATTTTTTGTGAGATGCTTTCTGCACACCCAATAATTACCTTTGTCGCGTGGCTGCTTGAGACGGTCTTTGAGCCCTTGCGGGCGCCCCTAAAAGATCCAAGAGCGCCGCAAAAAGCTCTACTCGAGTTTTAAAAGGGAAAAATATGGATATCCAAGGTTTGGATAAAGCTTCCTTCGAGGTAGCACACGTGCAGCTAGAGTATTCATTGATCATTGAGGGATGCGCCGCGCATTCAGCTTCTATTCGCATTTGTCCCCCACGAATGCCCTTCCGGATACAAATTTTATCCTGCAACTGGGTCGCAGTTCCAATTAAATATTAAGTACACTGCGGGAAACAATGGTATCCAGTATTACCCGTCATCCACCCACTCTCATTCTCTCCCGCCTTATAGATTCAGATGTGTACAGATTCAGATGAAGGGAGTAAAAAAAAGGAAAGCAGTATAATCGGCTGGTAACATCAAATATAGGAATGAACTCAATGAAATGGTGTTCCACAAAATATGGTGTCCGAACGATTGGCCGTACATGAGGTCGTGAAACCCAATCCGCAGTTTCTATTCATCACGACCCTGATCCCAAAACCAAACACAACAGCTCCTTGTAAGACTGTCCGATGCTCGCTTCTTTTCTGCTTGTTTACTTAGAACCTTGTTTGTTTACCAAAGTTGCTTACTATATAGTTCTGTGACTTGAACAACAAAATAGGTAAGCATGACTCGAATGGTCATTAAAAACAGCTCAAATTCACAAACCCTAGAAAATAAAGCAGACAAGAGATGAGCACTAGGAGTTGCCAAGTTATAGCACACCCAGACAACTCCTGATAGATCCTCATCAGTTGCTATCGATTACCTACAAAGGGAGGGCCTGAAAGGTTCCAAATCATAGAGAGGTATGCAGGCTGAATACAAAGGGCCCCTCAGGGTCGCTGCTACAGTGGAGGACTTCTTTCTATATTATTCGCCCTTCCTCAAACGTCAGTTCACCAGTTCACGAGCGATTCGACGCCACTTTTGGCCAGTTGTTTATTGTAAATCACCAGCGTTTGTTTCACCAACAAAAAGTTGACTGAGGGTGGCGTCGATCCGCTCGTGTGGTGTGGAGTAGTCTTCTGAACTTGCTGAACGGCGATCTGGTAGGTACGTCAGACATCGATTGAAGTGTTCTACCTAGAAATCTCACAAGCAGAGTGAACAACTAGAGTGTACATTTGTTATTGATCCAACCTATTGGAGGTTCCGTAACAGAGTAAATACGTTCCATTGAACAAATAAATAAATAAACAAACGCGCAAGTAGAAGATAGGCAGTGAGTAGGCTGTATCTCACCGAATTTGATTATTAGTACACCCTATAAGTTGCTACTACAATCTCAAATGGAGTCGAGTGCATGGCGCATTCGAAAGGTGTCACGCCCAAAATCCGATGCGCACTTTTTTCTGTCTATTGTCGTAAATCTATCAGGTTGAAGGCATCATCAATATATCACAAAGTCTGAGACTAGCTATCCAGGAAAGCTACCATGTAAGGCATCAGGATCGACTTGCAACAAAAGTACGAGTTGATAAAAAAACGGAAATTATCTAACAATCTACATTAATAGCAACAGATAGTCAGCGAGAAATACGATTTGGCCACTAGAAACCACTAGAATATTCTCCAAAAATGGAAATGAACCCGACCTAGGACCTGTAGACAGGAGTACCGTTCTTTTTCGAAGCGCGACAAGGCGATGGTCACGCCTGAGCGCCTGCAAACACAAACCGACGAAAAACAAAGCGGCGGCGATCTTAGTAATCGGGCGATGTGTCACGTCCTATTTACTGGAGGTTTACTACTGAATAGGAACTTCTTCACGTCTGATTTCCTTGAAAAAAAAGCCCATCTTGCCTTTAATGATGAAGACAACATTCAGGGGAGAACTTCACATGATTGAAATAAATAGTAAACAATAAACATAGCTATGTATGGCTCAAACCATAAACCATAATTGGAAATCGCGAATTTGTCGGGTCATGTATAGGTTCACCATGAGGATAGACAAGGTTCACCTCATGATTTTCTCTTTGAATTTTTGTAGGAAATCATTGCGACCGGGGGAGATGGGGTTCAAGTTGACCTTGGGGG